CAACTTCAAGAGAATAAAAGCCACCGTGTTTTCGCAAACCTCAAACCTGCCTGCACCTACCTCCCCCAAACCCTCCTTTCTTCCCATACTATCTTCCAGACTAACTCCCACACACATGCTTTATTTCTCATTCCCATTTGCCTTCTCAAGAACAACAAGTTGGTGAATAGCCCATTTTTATAGCTTCAGTGATTTTCTCACCTTGTTCCTTATAACACAGACTCTCTTCTTTGCACATTCTTTTAAAATGTTTAACTAGTTTCTTTAAACATCCCTTTCCATGAAGCCCCACAATCCTATCTCATTTCCGAGTAGTTTCTTGCATCTCCTTCAGTCTTACTTCTTGAAATAGTCATCTACTCTTACAGTCTCCATTCACCCTACCCAGTCTCTAAACTCTCCCTAATGTGGCTCCTGCCCAAATCGTTCCACTGTGGCAGTTCTACTTGAGGTTATCAATGATGGCCATGTTTTGAAACCCAATGGATATCAAGCCCTCATATTATTTCTCAACTCTGTTGTCTACTCCCATCTTCCTGAAATATTCTTCCTTCCTGATTACAATCTGCCTCTCTGGTCACTTGCTCTTTTTGCAAGCTCTTCCTTCTCTCCCTGGCAATGAAATACTGGTGTTCATTAAGGATCAAAGCCAAGCCTTATTATTCTAACACAGGAGTTGGTAAGCTTTTTTAATAAAAGGCCATACGGTCTCTGTCGCAACTATTCAATTCTGCTGTTGTAGTGGAAAAGTAACAATAGTTGCTACGTAATAAATAAACATGAGTATGTTCCAATCAAATGTATGGATAATGAAATTTAAATTTTATATAATTTCATGTACACAAAATAATATTCTTCTGATTTTTCCAACCACTTAAATATGTAAAAACCCTACTTAGTGCACAGGACATACAAAAACAGGTAGTGGGCCAAGTTTTATAATGACATTTATCAACACCTATGATACTTGTCTATTTGCGTCTTTATTGTCTGATCTCAATATTAGAATATAAATTTCAGGAGAGTTTAATCACCACTTAATCCCAGTGCCTAGAATAGTGCCTGACACAGGCAGACAATTCATATACGTTGTACAAATAACAGAGAGGTATTAGCTCATTTCCCATGGCCTTGCTGGGTTAGGTCTGCTGCAGGTTTATCATCTGCACTGTAAAGGTTAAATCACAGGGCTACTCAGGCTGACCACTACTGCTCAAGTGCCTGTTATTTTGTGGCTATGGTAATGGACATGTATGTTAAAATTACAAGATACTGGAGTAAAGAGAGTCTTTAAATGGCATGTGGACCAAAACCATCATTAGGTAATGAGTAAATGAGGTCACTGAGGCCCAGAGAGGTCAAAAGCCTTGCCTGTGATCAGTCCACTTGTCAGTGCAAGACAAGCCTGGGCATTAGACCTTCCCTCAGTGCTTTTCCATGATACAAGTCGTGTCAACCAGAGCTTCTATTACTGTACATGTTTTCCCACTGACATGCCCAACAGAGATTGGCAAGCCATTGCTACTCCCACAGAACTGACAAGTGAGAAGGGGGGGCCCTGGATACTGCTTGGCAAAGAAAGGGAGACTTTTTAGCAGGAGCCACCTTGGAAGGGTGCTCTAAGCCTTACCTGTAGAAGCTCTCTAGTAGGCTGCTGCTGCTTTTCTTCCAGCTGGGCAATCAGGCTACTGAGGTGGGAGATATTGCAAGAGAACTGGGTGATGGCACCATTGATGCTATTGTAGATGGCCAAGTCTAGCTCCTCAAGGCGGGCAAGGAGGCGATATTCATGCTCCTTCAAGGAGTGATACAGCTGCTCAAACTCCCAAATTATCTTCTCTCTCTCCATCTGGGTCAGGCTCTTTGCAGATAACAGGGAAGGGCAGTGAAGAGAGAAAAGGTTTACTTCTCGGGCTCTTCACATTTCTTCCCCAGCTACTCACCCCAGAACCTCATCGTTTCATCCGTTATATTAAAACAAACACCTTGTCTGCTCACTCGTTTTTTGTTTCTTACTGATTAGTACGTAATGGCTGAGAACTGAATTACCCCAGTGATAATTAAGACACAGTCCCTGTCTCAGGAACTCAGTCAAGTGAGAGTTAGGTTCATATGATACATGTAACCATGGATGGATAAGTAAAGGCAGGGTGACAGGATGCAGTGGGAGAAGTTGGTACAGTCTTCACAAAAGCAGTGTTCACACAGAATCTTGTAAAATGAACAGGAGTTTACTGTGTGTTCAAAGACCAGGAGAGTTTTCCAGGCACAGGAAATGGTACAGACAAAGAAGTGGAGAGAGAAGGCAATCAGTTCTATCTGGCTGGAGCAACTTGAGTGCTGAGGGAAGAGGCCAGAAAAGGTAACAGGCCAGAACATACTTTGCCTGGCAAACTAAGAGGCAATGACTTTATTGCAACTGGGAGCCATGAAAAACTATCAGGGAAGTGACATGGTCAGATACATGCCCTGTGGAGGACAGTTTGGAATACTCAAGCACAATTTCTATAACAATCTTCGCATAATAACCTTGATGGGTTCTCTTAGGCCCTTCCCGTGCAATCTGTACTCTCTATCTGGCCTTCAAGAATATTCACTGGTGCAGATTTATTTGTCAAAGTTTCTCTGTCCTTGCTTCTCTACCCTACCCCCCACTGACAGGGCTCTAACACTTTGTTTTAAACAAAGGGTAGGGAAACTCCCTTTGTTTACTCCCTAGAAGTAAATTTTATTAGACCGTTGTCACACCCATCATTTACATATTGTCTTCAGTGGCTTTTGACCTCTAACAGCAGAGTTAAGTAGTTGAAGGAGACAGCAGCCTCCAACCTTTTTGGCTCCAGGGACCAGTGCTCCTATGAGAATATAATGCTTGATGATCTGAGGTGGAACTGAAGCTGTGATGCTAGTTCTGGGGAGCTCCACAAATACAGACGAAGCTTTGCTGGCTTACCTGCTACTCACCTCCTGCTGTGCAGCCCGGTTCCTAACAGGCCATGGACAGGTATCAGTTCACAGCCTGGGGGTTGGGGACCCCTGGCAACAGAGATGATGTAGCCCACAAAGCCAAAAATATTTACTATCTAGTCCTTTACCGAGAGTTTGTTGACCTATTTAAACTGAACTCCTGAGAACCTTTCCTCACTAACCATCCCTCTAACCACCCTTCTGAAGAACTTACTGTGCAACACAGTGATGCACAAATGCTTTTGTTTACAAATCCTTTTGATAAGATTATACCTCTCCTTAGCTGGGTAAGTCTCTCAAAGACATAAAAGACACATTATAATCAAGAAAGAGGCTTTAAAGATCAAGTAATACAATGCTTCTCAAAGAGGATACTATAGGCGGACCTGGTGAGGGGGACAATTCTGCCTGGCATGGGCTGTTTCTTCATTGCAGGACATCTAGCACCTGTCCCACTGTCCCTAATCGATTCCTCAAGTGACAACCAAAGAAACCCACACACCGTTGGAGGAAAGAAAAGGGCAGTATTAGCTGAAGATCAAGTCTAGAACAACCTACCCATTTCACAGATGAGTTGTATTTATCCAACTGGCTAGTGTCAGAACCAAGAAGTATGTCCAGGTGCTTTGATTATCGGAGAAAAGCTGTCTCCCCTCCTTGACAATCCTCCGACAGAGGACAAGATTACGTGCATAATGATTCGACTCCAGAGTACAAGATTATGTGCATAATGATTCGACTCCACTCAAGCTCACTAGAAGATTCTCCAACCATCATACCTACTTTCAAGCAAGGGAAGCTGAGGTCTCAACAGACTGTGGTGGCATCTGAGGGCATCATGGGAATAAGTTTCCTGTTTAAAAGTTCTCTGCTACACTCTGGCCAGGACAAAATTTCTCACAAGATGATGTTAGAGACTACTAGTCTAAGTTCACATGCAAATACCTCTAATGGTGGGAATTTTTAACATTTTATTTATTGTTCAAAAAATGCTTTAAAACCTAGATGTTGGATATATATGTTATAAAAAGCCTCTGTACCTTTTGTTTTGGTTTTCAAAACAAAACCCCCAAATATTCTTATCACAAATTAGCACATCGACCACTTGCTAAAGCTTTAGGAGTTTGGGGGAAGGAAATAAAATGAAAAGTTCAGAAATGAAGTGTTGTCAAGAAAGGGACACTCCAGCAAGAAGCAAAAGTGGAGCTTATGCAAAGCCACTCTCAGCATCTGTCTATAGAATGGTAGGTACTATAGGAGGCTGACTGTGCCCAAGAATTTCACCTATGTCAGCTTTGTCAAAGGTCAACC